TTCCTCCCACAGGTATGCGACAGAACCCATTCTATTAATTCATAAACAGAGTGATACAATCCAAAGGAGTGTTCAAGAGCTCCCGAATAATCCACATTCACATCACCTAACAGACACGTACGCATATTTGTACTCATCTCTTTCAGTTGTAAACATTTATATTGTGGGGCTGTCAGTTTGAAAAGAATCAATCTTTAATTCCAATCTTTCACCGGCACCGATGACATACTTCCACAATATACTTTTTTCTAGCAAGTATGCTATGTCAAAATCAGCTGAATCCAAATCTGTATCTTGTATCTTTAGCTTGGCTTTCATGGCAATCTTTCGATATTATTGTTCAAGATACGCAAATGCTGCCATGGTTGAGCTCATACTTTTGTCTATGAACTTAGGGAAGCAGGAAATATAATCCTTTGCAACAAAAGACTGCTCAGCAGGTGATGATTGACAAAATATCTGAAGGCCCCATTAATATATTCCTTATAGGATCACACACAAATTTTGCTATTTTCCTCATGAGTAATCCACATCTAAAGAAGAATGTTGAGCATATTTATGTTATGGGTGGTGGTATAAGATCAGAGAACCCAACTGGCTGCTGTCCAGAAAATGCCAGCAGATCTTGCATTCCTCGACAATGCGGCGATCCTGGTAACATATTCACGGATTACACTAGTAATCCTTATGCAGAATTCAATATCTTTGGAGACCCTTTTGCAGCATATCAGGTACTGCAGTCTGCTGGAATATCCAATTAAACATAGTCACACCTGAATGGGAATTATCATAGGACTGATGTGTTGGCTGCAGGTGATCCATTCTGGAATTCCGCTCACCATTGTTCCTCTGGATGCTACAGACACCATTCCCGTAACTAAGACTTTCTTTGAAATATTTGAGCAGAATCATGGTACAGTTGAGGCACAATATGCATTCCAAACCTTGAAAATAGCTCGTGATTCTCGGCTTGGAGAGCAATTCTATACAGTAAGTTCTGAAATGCACTCCTCTATCCAACACCTGAATGAAATTTTAGATCTTTTTTTTTTTTTTTTTTTTTTTTTTTAAATTTTAAAAAAGATCAGAACATTGTTGGTTAGCCTTGCTTGATTTTATTGTGAAGGGAGATAAATAAAAGATCACAAAAGAACTGAAGTTTTTGCAGACTTATTTCATGTGGGATTCTTTCGCATCTGGTGTGGCAACATCTATCATGCTTAACTCACATACCGATGATGGTCAAAATGATTTTGCTATGATGGAGTACATGAATATAACTGTAGTTACTTCAAATAAACCGTATGGTAAATCTGATGGGTCAAATCCATTCTTTTATGGACGTCAAGTTCCAAAATTTGATCTTGGAGAAGGTGGGGTGCACAGTGGGCATGTTCAGACAGGACTTCGAGATCCCTTTTGCATTGCGAGTAATGGGAAAGGGAAATGTCAGGTATTTTATTTTTCCTAATACTTTTAATTGCCTTTAGTTTTGTCTCTCTCATCTTCTTCAACCTTTTATAACGGAAATGTGTTATCTGTTATATGCTATCCATCAGGATGGTTATACAGCAGAGGTAATGGGTCCAGAAGGAGTGCATGTTTTGGTTGCTACAAGAGCAAAGTCCAACCAGAACATCTCCAGTCCTCTTGACAGAGAATTTTACGTAGGCTTCTTAGATGTGAGGCTCTTCTCATCTGCTTTGATTTTCGACATCGCAATCACACTCTTCCTAAAAGTTTTAACTATTTCATGATTGATTACTACAATCAATGAAGCTTAGGTAACAATATGTTTTTCCTGTTGACCAGGTTATTAACAGTCCTATAAACACAGGAAGATTCAATTTTACCACACAATTCCCATATTACGAACAAGTTATGTACAGACCAGATTTCAGAAATATTAAACTGGGGAAACCTGTTGTGATTGACATGGATATGAGCGCTGGAGACTTTCTGGCGTTATTCTATCTTTTGAAAGTACCTGTGGAAGTTATTGACATCAAGGTAGAGTTTCTCTTCGGCCTTTCTCTTTTCACCTTGGATACTACTGCATTGTATGACAGCCCTTCTAATATTCCAGCATAATGCCATTAAATTACCGATCAACTGAAGAGCTTAAGCTGATAGGTTATGATAAATTTAATTTTATCCAACACTCCACTTCACTCGTGGAAGTCAATATTAACCGAAGAGCTTAATATGTTACCAAATTTAATTTATGATAAATGGAAGTCAATATTAATGGAGGAAATGATATAACAGGGATTCAAATACAGAACTCCTGCTTTGGTAACATATTAAATCAATGATCAATCTAAGAGTTTAAGCTGATGGGTTACGGTAAATTTAATTTTATCAATACTTAAACAATGCCATTATAAAATTTTGAGGCATGGCTTCCATTCAAGATGAATCCTCCTACTCTGTAATTTATCTTGGTGGCACTTGTTAAGAGTGAGGTATTGGAAATGTTAGCAACTAAGGGACCCAGTTTGTCGATCTGAATAACTTTTGTATTGCAAACAAGGAAAGAAGTTGAGAAGAAAGCTCTTTGGGAGTTTCATGGTTGAAAGGAGTAACCTTACCTGCTTATAAGGAAGCTCTACCTCTTTAATCAGCAACCTTCAACATTTTGATACTATGATAAAGAAAATTTTAGCCCAAAGCATTTTGAACCTACCATTGCTTTACTTTCTCAAAAGTGACCCATGGTTGACTTTTCCTCTTTACCTTCTCTAGACATTTTATATTGCCTCTACTTTTCTACAGGCAATAATAGCCAGTCCAACAGGATGGGCAAATGCTGCAACAATAGATGTTATCTATGATCTACTGCATATGATGGGTCGAGATGACATACCAGTAGGTCTTGGAGACGTATTTGCAGTAAACCAATCAGATTCAATTTTGCCTATTGTTGGCGACTGTAAGTATGCTAAAGCCATTCCAAATGGATGTGGTGGATATTTAGACTCTGATACTCTCTATGGTCTTGCTCGTAATTTGCCCAGAAGCCCAAGAAGGTACTCAAAATTACCTGTTTAGTCTCTCAGAGATTTCATGTTGAATCTATCTTTATCTGTACTTTCCAGAGAACGCTCCAATCCACTAGTTGCAAAATGAAACTAACTGATTATAACTCGAATCTGAAGAGTGAACCAACGTAGTGCTTTGATTTACATTTTAGTTGCATCCAGTTTATTTATCCTCTTTGGCCTTTTAATTGATTGACACCTATCTCGATTGCTTTACCAGGTACGCAGCAGAACACCCAGAAAAACACGGAGATCCTCAAAACGCTCAGCATGCTGAACTGAGACAACCTCTAGCCATGGAAATTTGGGAATCCATATTGAAAGAACTGGAGCCAGGATCCAAGCTTTCAGTGCTTACCAATGGACCATTGACTAACTTAGCAAAGCTTATTACATCAAACAAAAATGCAAGCTCCCTTATTCAGGTTTGTGGATTTGGTTCGTCTTGTCATTATCTTATCTAAAACATATACTACTAATACTCAAAAAGCAAGAGAACAAAGTGCCACGATAATCTCTGTGTGAATTGCTGTTTTCCTTTAGAGTTTAAAAGTATTCTGCTATTTATCTCTTGCACGTTTCAGCTAGTTTTCTTTGTGCTCTGGAAGGTTTTGCTTCTTGTGGTGGCTTCCTGCAAATGGGAGAAAAGTTTTTTATATTAATGGTCCTCATATAACATAAACACTAGGAAATAGAGAAGAAAGACCTCGGAATATCTAATGCATCTACATTATCACAAAACGAAGAGTTTCTTAAGCTGACGAACTTGAATTACATACAACATTTGTTAGTCTTTCAGCATATTTGCATATTTTGCATACTTCTGTTAATATAGTAAGCGCTGAACAACTGCAGGAAGTTTATATAGTTGGGGGGCACATCAAGGATGATGATATGGATAAAGGAAATGTCTTCACTGTTCCTTCAAATATATATGCAGAATTCAATATTTTCCTTGACCCCTTAGGTGCAAAGACTGTTTTCGAGTCAACAGTTAATATCACGCTTGTTCCCCTTGGCATCCAGCGATGTGTCAGCTCATTTGAAAATGTCTTAGAAACTCTCTGCAAGAAAAAAAGGACGCCTGAGCTTCTCTTTGCCCGTGGTTTGCTGTCAAGACTCTATCGCTTGAAGCAATCAGTCATCTGTTATAAGCATGTGGTAAGAAATTGTCTACGACTTCAATTCTTACCTGTTCTTCATAATTTTTTATTGGTTAATCTCTTATGGCTTCAATGAGTATAAAACTGTACACGATATATCTTACCAATTCAATTTTTTGTATCTAAGTTTCCATTGGCTCTGAACCTTTGGAATTCTTATGAAAGTCAACTGTTATTTGCTGTAATAAAAGCTTGTTCTGCTGTAGGATACTTTCTTGGGGGAACTTCTTGGTGCAGTAGTCCTGGCTGAAGAAGGCCGTGTGGAGCCAGTTTTTCAATTCAGGCCTGTAAAAATCTTCGCAGCTGGTGTTGAATCTCAAGATGGCCAAACTGTCATCTATGAGAAGGGCGGGAAATTAATCCGAGTACTGCAGAATTTGAACCAAACAGCCTACTTTCACCTATTTGCAACCCGGCTAAGTGATAAGATACAATCTGCAGTGGTCAAAAGCTTTAATGACCAGAAAAGAAGGTGGAATAAACTGCAAAACCACACCTGTAATTATTGCCATGGATCATGTGTTTGCTGATATTCACCGAGATGAAAACTTTTGGGGCATTTGTATAAACATAAAAAAAGGTTTCCATTTCGTGGTTCATAGAAAGCAACAAACAATAAGATCTAGATTATCCCCCTATCAATTTATGTCATCATCTAAGCTTGATGCTGTTCTTAGTCCATTGGCGGCCTACTTTGTCCATTTGTTGATTTTGTTTGTTTCAAATAAGAGTGGAAATCCAAGAAAATTCAAATGAAACCCACAAATGACCAGGTATGTTTTGATTAGCAGAATACTAGGGGAACAAAGATGAAAGAGAGTATTTGCCTCTATGAAAACACCCAGAAAATCTTTCAGGACTCCATGCAATACAAACAGTTCAGCTCAAACAGACTTGAAAAATCAAAAGTCGAAATCAGCTGTAGAAAACATTGATGTTCTGAGTGAAAAGGGCAAAGGTTCTGAATTTGTACAAGCACAAGTAACAGCCATTTTAAGAGCCTAGAGAACAGAGAAAGGAGACTCGACAGGAACGAATGGAAAACTCTTGGTTTTCATGGATTTTGTCAGTTTAGGAACCCAAGTCCACTGGGATGGATCCACCAGCATTCAAAATCCGTTGCTCCAGCTGCAGTAAACAAGGTTTGTAGTCAATTTATCCATTTTTGTCACAGACACCGACCAAGGTAAGTGTGAGATGATAAGAAGAAAAGCCCTTAAGTAGCAGATTTCTCTACTTACAGCATATAGATAACTGAGCTTATCTTTTACACCATAGAATGCTTGCTCTACTTGTTGGAGACATCTTGAACACCTGGAAACAACAGTTTACTTACTAATCACTTGATTATTCTTGTCACTTAGTTATTCCTCAGACCTGACTGCTAACTGGGAAGAGAACTTTGAAAGATGAATCAAATAGTGAAAATAGCTCACCATTCTGGACTTTGTTGCTCGCAGGCGCTCCGGAAGTCAATGCAGGCATTCTTCACTCTAAGTGCACCTATGCTGCATTGGACACAGAGGAGTCAAAACAACAAACAAAACAAGGTCAGCATTTTCTTCATGACTTTTAGATTTGAGAAGCATCATGAATATCCTGACCATTGATACATCGTTATAAACCTCGCTCGTCCTCCCTTGAATGCTCAAAATTCAATGATCAGTTCCCATCATCAGTCTTGCATCTCAACCCGAAAAAATTATTTCAATTCAATATTGTGAGATCTCATATCGGTTGAGGAGGAGAACGAAACACCCTTTATAAGGGTGTGAAAACCTTTTCCTAAAAAACGCGTTTTATAAACCTTGAGGAGAAGGCCGAAAGGGAAAGCCCAAAGAGAACAATATCTGCTAGCAGTGGGCTTGAGCCGTTACAAATGGTATCAGAGCCAGACACTGGGCGATGTACCAGCGAGAAGGCTATTTCCTGAAGGGGGGTAGACATGAGGTGGTGTGCCAATAAGTATGCTGAGCCCCGAAGAGGATGGATTTGGTAGGGGTCCCACATCGATTGGAGAAAGGAACGAGTGCCAGTGAGGACGTTGTGCCCTGAAGGAGGGTGGATTGTGAGATCCCATATCGATTGGGAGGATAACGAAACACCCTTATTTATAAGGGTGTGGAAACCTTTCTCTAACAGACGCGTTTTAAAAACCTTGAGGGGAAGTCCGAAAAGGAAAGCCCAAAGAGGACAACCTTGAGGAGAAGTACAAAAGGGAAAGCTCAAAGAGGACAACCTTGAGGGGAAATACGAAAGGAAAAACATTAGGAGTGGAGAGATTTGAATATCTAACCTTTTGGTCGATAGTATATCTTTTAACCCAGGCTAAGTTTAGGCAGTTCGAAAAGTTTTTCCAAACACAGTGTGGTAAGTTTGAACTCTGTAATACAGGGACGTGCAAACTCACACAAACAAGTTTTAATCACATCTTTAAAGGCTTGGAACCCAAAGCTCCCGAAGTTCTGACTATCATCGTCTATCCATTTTTAGAGAGAGAGAGAGAGAGAGAGAGAGAGAGGAAATTTTGTACCTGGAGCTGCTGCCCTTCAGCTGGTGTACATGATCATCAATCTTTTTGAAGTCCACAGATGGCTGTAATCTGACAGAAACACAGAGAAACACAAAACGATTCAACCAAGAAAAACAAGTCATAAAAAAGGATCTGCACGACTGGATGATTGCTTAACTTGGTATTGATGAGACAGAGAGAGAGAGAGAGAGAGAGAGAGAGATAGAATAAAACTCCAAGAAAGCAGCCAAAGAGGCTGAGTCCTTACAGAGCGACTCTCAGTTTATTGAGAAGCTCCTCGGTATCTTCAAAGAAAAGAGTCGCCACTTCAGAAACGAAAGTTGGATTACTCTCATCTTGCAGTTGCAAAAGCTGCAAATACTGACTATCCAGAGTGCCCTTCTCCCACCAAAACCACATAGATAGATCCACACAAACCAAAACCCACAAAATCACACAGAACAAACATAAGATTATTCACAATCATCACAAAACAAACCAAAACCCACTTCAGATTTCAAGTTTTACCTCACCGAGTAGGCCTTTTACATACTGAACCCGCTGTCTCTGCATCAATCCCACCTCCATTTTTACTCACAGAAGCTTCTGTTGACTACGAAAATATGAAGAAGATTCTTAGAACTTGGCTGCGATCCACAAAAGTTGGTGTTCGATTACAGATCTTAGGAATGAAGTTTAAGGATGATGAGGGGTTTGAAGGGATTGGTGAAGAATAGATAGATAAACTTGAAGTGGGGTTCGGCGATGGCCGGGCGCCTGCAAAGGAGGAGGCGAAGTGGAGGCAGAGTCCAAAGCAGCTTTTTATCAGGCTGGATTTGAGGGTCGTTCTTACAGGATCAAAGCCTCCACCTTTGCTTGTCGTTTTCTTTTCGTTGATTTGCATTTTGCAGTGATACTTTGTTTTATATGGTCCTCCAAATTTCATTGGTCTTCTTTTTTTTCTTTTGAAATTTTTCATTGGTTGCTTTTTATTTATGTTACCAATGTATTTTTCATATTGAATTTCCAAAAAACCTTATCCGTACTAGCTACAAACATATAGGGCCTCTTTCAAAAGTAACAACTATATATATATATATATATATATATATATTAGTATTCACTTTTCAATTTTATAAAAAATAACAAAATTCTTGACTTTATATAGCACTAATTTATTTTCTTTGATATATCTAAATGGGGCGTGGAATCTCGAATGAAAGAATCCCGTTATATATATAGGTTGCATCCCCCTACTCGAAATTATGTGCTATCTAAGTTACCCCATTTTCTAAAATTTCTTAAAACAGAGTCAGAGGTTTGAGCCTTCGTTGTTCGGCCATAAGAAGTCCTCAGACTGTGATTTTAAATTTTAATATATATATATATACTACTTTGCTTTTAAGAATGTAAAATAGTATTTTAATAGAAAACTGTTTTACATATAATCAATGTTATAGATATTTTGAAAGGTTTTGTTGTTAAATCACCAAAACGGAACGACAAAACCTAAATATCCTTAAATACCAATCCAAAAGACCATCATCACCGTCTCTCTCTTTTGTTATCTTTTTCTTCAACAAATTCTCAATTTGGGTCAAGACAGCAATCATTTCTAACCGTCTGATCTGTGGAATACTTTTTTTGAATTTTGAGTTTGAAAAATGTTTTTTATTTTTTAATTCAAGTTTCTTTGTCAATTTTTTTTTTTTTTTTGATAAATCTGAAATTTTTAATTAATGGACTTAGTTGGTTTTTATATTTCGCTATCATTGATTATAAACATCAAATATTTTTTGTCATATAAGCAAGACGATAGGATTGAGTTGTAACTCTATTTACAGGTTGGTCACACGACAAAAAAAAAAAATAAAATGATAATTTGTAAATTGATTTAAATATTCTATTTTCCAAAAATTTAACCAAATCAAAACTAAAAAAATAATAACAACCTAACCAATACCAAAGCTTAAAGCGAGACATATTTTTCGTTTCATGAATAGTTGTTCAAGTTATGAATGATACGTCGAGGAGTTAATGAAGGAAGTTATTACAATGTGGCTGACAGGTCTATACACCTCATGTTCAAGAGAAAAACTATAAAAATTATAAGCTTAAAGCGAGACATATTTTTCGTTTCATGAATAGTTCAAGTTATGAATGATACGTCGAGTAGTTAATGAATGAAGAAAGTTATTACAATGTTGTGGTTGACAGGTCTATACACCTCATGTTCAAGAGAAAAACTATAAAATTTATTTCAAATTTATATCAATAATTATCAAAATCTCCCTACTGAGATGACTATTATAAGTGAGTAATCAATACGCGCAGCTAAGTGTCACAAAACATTGCAATGAAAATGCTCTAAAAAAACTACCTTCTCAGTTTCTGGCACACAAAGATAAGGAATGTGCATAGAGAATGGAGGAAGTTTATGAACACACCTTGCAACTTTTTCTGCAGTAGCCAGGAAACTCAGGAGATCCCACCATATACTCTGGGTTATCATTGCACTCGCCGAGCTCAGCCCATCTCTCACAACTTGCATTCTCATCACTGCAATTCATGTAGTCTCCCACAATCTGGTCGAAAGGATTGACACGAATCCACTTAGTTGCTGACCATTTCTCGCCTTCAATCACAGGGCACCCTCCATGCAGACTACTTGTGTCTGGAACAGCATTTGGATGAAGACTGAAGAACAGAAGAGCGTCGCCTTTCCGCGGTTTCACTGAATATCTCAAGCACGTAGATTAAAAAGTGTTCAAAAAAAAAAAAAGTTGTTTGATGAGCAAAAACAGCTATATAAATAGCTTTACAAAGCAATCAAAAAGATAAAAATTAGCTAATAAAGAGTAACAGCTAACTAATCAAATCAAATCACAACTTCTTAGACAATATGATCACAAATTAAATCTTTTAACGATAAGAAATCTCGATGAGTTTGAACCAACGTCACAAATCACAGAACAGGAGTAAGAGAACTGAAGACAGTCACCTGCTATCCCTTTCTTTGCACAGTCTGAGAGATCTTCGTTTGTTTCAGAAGCCTGACGTCTTTGAGATTCCTGAACTCGATGAACAAAGATATTCAACATTTAGATTTTAATGAATAAAAAAAACCCATCAATTGATAATGGCACACGTAAATACCAAAACAGGAAACTTTTCCAATTCTAAGAGCCGCAGTAAGGTAACTCGAGAGAAAATTAGTTTTCAAAGAATATGGTACAAACAAGAACCAAGACACTTGATTATGGTCGAGGTACAGCCACAAAAAAGGAAGTTGCAATTAATTGGATTGAAGGGAAATACAAGGGCAGACCTCTGCAGAAGGAAACACAGTTTCACCGCCTCTTTTTACGTCGGAAAGATACATGAGAACGGTTGCCATTCGATGTCCACCACGGGCAATATTAACCTCGTCGGCAAAGTAATCGAAGTGTGCATCATACTTCTGCCCATATTCATATCTCAACACTTGAATGTCTTCTCCATTTTCTGAAATCAAGCATATTCAAGTTTCGGTTTACCAGCTATACCAATACACAGACATGCTATCAATGCATGAGTCAAGTGTTTATATGAATAGAGTTTCCATTCATAGTTTTTCTTTTCTCAATAAAAAATAAATAAATGAGAAGGGCTAAATTGAAACTCCGTTTCTTCCCAGCTGCACAATTCTTCCTCAGTCTATCGCTTGATTATGTATGTATTTCACGAGGGGATTATGTCTTCCTAAGTTCCCTATTTTATATGGAAATTGGAATATAAATAGCCCAAGACTTCTCTTTATGATTTCAGTCATAAGAACGGATAAAACTAGAGAACCCAGAATTTAGAATTCAACTGTAAACCTATATCATGTCAATCTATTCAACTCCAAAGTTGCATTAAGAAAGATCATAATTTCACACTCAATTGTCAATCTATTCAATCTTCAATTTTTGATGACGGAAAACAGTTTGTAATGGAGGATAAGTTGCTAAAGACTATGGGATTAGCAAGAAAGTTGCACCTTTTGCTAGTGTTATAATACCTTTTGGCAGAAATGTCCATGCTGAAATTTTGTCTTCTATACCAGAAACAATAGGATCCTACATGAGAAACAATGAGTTTACTTAGAGGGATATAGAGAGTGCCTCATCAGGTTAGAGGTTTATAAGTAAAATTGGCTCCCTATCTGTACACTCAGAAGGATCAAGGATGGCATTTAATGTTTTCCAACAACAATAGTCAACTAAGCAGAAAATTTTGAAATTTCAAGCAGCTAAGGCTGCTGAACCCATTCTTTAAAATTTGACGTTCAAAATACTAAATGGCTCCCTATCTGTATACTCAGAAGGATCAAGGATGGCATTTCATGTATTCCAGCTACAATAGTCAACTAAGCAGACAAATTTGAAATTTCAATCAGCTAAGTCTGCTAAACACATTCCGTAAAATTTGACATCCAAAATACTAATCTTCCAAACTACTGGCATGAAGTAGTAACAGCTGACCCTTCCAAATCAATATCGATCAATGAATAGACCGACTGAGTAACACTTATACTTTTTATTTCTTTCCTCAAATGGTGATTATAACAATATCTCAGAAAAGATGATCTCAGGTTTAAATTACTTCAAGGCCATGTACGCGCTCATTTCATATTAAGGTAGCTAGACTTCATAAATCAAACCAATATTCAATAGACGGTCGAACGAACCAAACTAATCTTGGAGCCCATGAGGGAATCTAAAGTCTATCAACCCAATAAATTTCAAGCTAAGAGTTTAAGATTTAGGCTTGATGGTGATTCAAGCTAAAAATTGAAGCAAAAACTTGTCAAATCACTTGCTTCGCTATTGGAAGCTTAAGAACTATAAGAAGCAAACTATGCACAAACCTTGGATTTTTGAATAAACGCCCCAGAACTAGTTCGGATCTCGCTGACCTTGCTCTCTCCTGACAAATTATCGGCAACAGCAGATCTCTTCAATTCAGCTTTAGCCTAATTTAAACAGAACAAAAATTAACCAAAACGAAAATCGCGTACTACTGCGGTATCACAAATGAAAAACGAATAAATTCTAATTCTACTCACAATCGAGATGAGATGATCGCATTCTAAGTCCGTGAGAAAACCTTCATACACAAACGCCCTATATAATCATTCAAATTGAAACGGAAACATCGAACCGCGAACATCAAACGAAGAAATAGATTATCAAAACTTAGAAACTACAACAAGGAAAAGAAGAAGCAGAACGGCAAGAAATTGAAGTACCGAGGATTCCATGAAATCTGCTTTACTTTAGCAGGATTGACAATTGAGCTAGCGGAACCTGCATAGGAGCTTGAAGCTCGCCCGAGAAGCAACGAAATCGATAATGAGAAGAAAAACAGCGGATTGAAACTGCAAAATTTCTCCATGAACTGAATCGGATCAGTAGAGAAAGAGAACGAAGCAGAAGAAAATAGCAAAAAGTTTCTTTATCTTACTGAAAATTTTCAGATGTTCAGCCGCCCAAGCTGTTAAACCAGTCTATCAAGCTCTTTTAACTGTCAAACTTTCTAACTGCCACTCACGCACTGACACGGAATTAATATTTATTCAGGGAAAATATTGATTTTGGTTATTTTTTAAAAAAAAATAATGAAATTTATTTATTTTTTAATAAATGTATATTTTTTTTGGGTGAAAATATAATTTTTCTAGATTTTAAATTATTAAATTTAGGGTATAAATTTTAAGAATTAATTTTAAATAGAAGAAAATAAATTGAAGAAACTATTTTTAGTACATTAAAAGCGTGTTTGGATTGTTTTTGAAGTATTTAATTTTTCTTTAAAAATGTCATTTTCATACCATTGAGCTGGTTGGATTGGTTGAAAAATAAATGTTTTTTTTAAATGCATTTTATTTTAATTTTTAATTAAAAATTTGATTTATAATTAAAACACTAATGTTTCCTAAATTTAATATTTATTAAAAATGCGGTATACTCGAGCTCAATCTCCTCGGCTAGTTCTTGTGCGGTCAAGCTAGGGAGATTGCCCCGTCCATTCAAAGGGAGCACGTGACACCTAGAAGTCGATAGCTGATTTGAAGCGCGTGTCTCCACACTCCTTTATTTTTTGCTTACTCATCTTTGATATCCACGAGGACGGAATAGAGATGAATAAGTATTCTCCGTCCTCATCACCACCTCTTATTTATTTTAATCCACAAGAAACATTTAGTTGACGGGAAAAAATCTCTCATGATTCCCGTCCTTATTCTCTATTTAAACAAAAATCCCTCACACCATTTTGGACGTGTCCTCGTTAAATAGACACCTTCGATCAGCTCATACAGAAATGAGTTGCATGACCTTCATTACAAGCTTACTTTTTGGCAGTTGTCACACTCTACTATGATCATCCCGCCCTTTAAAGGTAAAGTCTAATAAACTAACTTATTTAAAGTTATCACTTTAGCATAAGCATCGAGTTTTAATTAGGTCAATTACAGCTAAAAGTTAACATCGGAAAACTACTTGAAACTATTTTCATATGAAAATGATGCTTTTAAAACTTCAATGACGAGATATACACCCAACTTATTAATTTTTTTAAACCACTAAATCCTTCCAATTTATTTTAAACCATTAATTTTTTTATTTAGGTTAATTAAGAGAGTAAAATTCAAGAACGATTCATATTATTTAGTTATATAACTTATTTCTTAAAATAAAAATAATTATTTTAGAAAATCAAGGATTAAAATAAATATTTATAGAAAATACTATGAGCTTCCAAAAAATTTAAATAATAAACTCTTAAATTTTCGAAAAAATTAAAAAAGAAAATTATTAATATTTTTTAATTTTCTAAACTTTTATAAAAAATACTAAGCTTTTAAAAATTTCATTAACAAAATTCAATTATTTAAAAATTATATATATATATATATCAAGTTTATAATAAATTTATACACTAATAAATAATTTATTTTTAAGATAAATTTTTTAAAAAATGGTTATTTGAAATATAGATAAATGATTAATATGGGAAAAGAAGTTATATTAAAAAAAAAAAAAAAAAAAAAAAAAAAAAAAAAAAAAAAAAAAAAAAAAAAAAAAAAAAAAAAAAAAAAAAAAAAAAAAAAAAAAAAAAAAAAAA